AGCACAGCTCTCCTGTGCTAGTTTTGATCATTCTGCCAGTTTCTAGTCAGAAGCCTCAAGTACAAGGTCCAGCCCCTCATGGCCTGGCTATTTTGCCTCCAAGCAACCAAGAAGGTACATCAATGTCCCAAGCTTGAATCCCCTGAACTGATTAAATCTTGAGAATAGTTTGGATATCTTTAAAAATAAAAGTAGCCTAATTTGCATGGGGGGGGATCAAGGGGGTAAGGTTGGCTTGAGGACATTTTTCCCACCACACTCCACCTCTTGGTTTTTTAAAAAGGGACTAATGGTCTTTTAAATCAGAGGTGTCAAACTCAAATAGAAACAAGTGCAGGGAAAGACACCAGCATATACATAAAGATCCCTGCAGATGCATATTGACTTAGTTTTACAGTGTATCTATGTTTTATTGTATTTTTATTGTGTTAAATATTTCTCAATTATATTTAATCTGGTTCTGGTAATACTTGGGGAGCTGTGTCTTTGATGCCTTTGAGTAACTTCCACTACTTAAGTAACTGTTGGATAGCTCTTATTTTGGAAATGCAAAAAGCCGGACATGCATGGCACTGAATGAGGAAAAGAAAAACTAAAATAGAAAGTAGAAAGAAAACAATGGAACAGCTATCTGAAAAAGTGATTAAGTATGGGAGAATGAAGACCAGAAATCTCATGTTTCTCTTCCCTTCTTTCTAGAGCTAAACAATCTGGCTACCTTTCTCAGAATTTAACCCTGAGGTGCTAGCTAGTACAGGTTGTAGGAGGAGGCTCAGAGGGGGTGCTACATATAGAAGGGGTTGGATAAGAATTACAGTAACTTAGAAGGCCTGAATGGGTTGTGATTTGCATCAAAGTAGCAGAGTATCTGTTTTAGAGTGCTAGAGTAGTAGGTATCGATAGTATTTTAATATTACCCTTGGACAAGTATATTAGTCAAGTATAGAAATAAGGTTCCCCCCCAGTAATTAAATTTATAAAAAAAAAAATCTAGCCAAACATCATCCTTTTTCTTTCTTTGTTCCTAAGTTTGTAAAATTTAAACTGGACTATATTCTAAGTGTTTCGATGTTACAGTTCTGATTAGTGTATTATTGCTTTCTGAATTTTTTTTTCTTGTTTTCTACATAGAGAATTAATGGTAGTATTAACAGACCACTCATGCAGGGGGCTTGTTATAGTGCAGAATATATTTTGAGGATGAGATTTAGAGAAAATTCAATGTACATATACTTAAGTGGCTGGCATGACAGGTCAGTTAACTTGGATTTTTTTTAATGAATTTCCTAAATTTACTAGAACAATTACTAGGTTTAAAAGACAGTGGGATAGTGTCAAAGCTGACCAATGTTATTTAATGTGATAAAATATAAATTTTCAAAATTATTTAAGTGTAGGTCAAGTCAGTGGTTAGGGTTTTCCCCAAAGGGGAAAAAGACATAGGAAGCTTGTTTGCACAGTCATTTAATAATATTTTGTTGATTAAAGTAAAATCTTTCAATTTGACTTGAAAAACAACCACCCAAAGATGTGAGGCTTTTATTTTATGAGATGAGTTTATTAATAATTAATCATAAGACATCATGCTACACAGAACCGGAAATAGAACTACTACTACAGAGTTACTTCGGGACTCTATACTGCTAGCCTAGGCCGTACAGTATCCACTTCAATTCCTTCCCAAGTATGGTTAGAACTGTTTCAGTACACACACTGTTCACTTTCAGATCCTGTAAGATAACACAAAAAATCTGCCCGAAATACAAACATAAATATATATTTCAAAAGTTTTTTTTTAAATATACTTATTGTATAACAATTCACACACAACATTTTTGTAAGTTACCATGTAAATTCTTTGCCTTCAAATCGTTGTTTGTTTTAACATCTATCTTTGCACACATATTACTTAACACCAGCCTCTTTGATGCTGTTTGTGCTGGTAAATGTTGGTTGTCAGATTTTGTTTTAATATTATACTTACTATGAATCAATTGATGGTCGGTATTCAAAAACTATTGTAAATGAGAAACCCTTTTTGAGACTGTCATACCAAATTCCTCTGATATGATCGTTGGCCCATAATGTAGTTAACATTTCTGTCCAGCTTTTGTACTACTCTTACTTCCATGTTTTCTGGACCACTTGTGCTAGCTTGAAATAGAAATGCATTTCTTTTTTCCTAAAAAGAATTAGTGATGGGCCTAGAAGCATTCTGATGAAAATTTCAAAATAATTTTTCTTATGCAAGAAAAGAGTAAAAAAAATTAAGTTGCAAAATGACATCTTTACTTGAAAGTATAAGTCAGGTTAAACTTGAATAAATTTAAAGAAAAAATATGAGCAGTATGGTATATATGTATATGTGGCTAATTATACATGTATACATCCTTAAAAAAAAAACTTAAGTTGAAATCTGCATGAGTTGAAACCAATCAGTTTCTTCAAAAGTAAGGTTTTCTTTGTAAGATTAATTTAGAAATGCAAATTGGTGGATTTCGCATGTCTCTTTTTACCATTTTAAATATAGTGTGATAAATGTTTGTTTATGAAGGCAAGGTTTTTGCTTTTGATTGTTACCATTATACACAATAACAAAGTTGATCATTTAGCTACCATTATAACATAGATGTAATTGTTTTAGCTCCATAAATTCACATAATTAAAAGTAAAATGTCAAGTGACTAAATAAGATTACACAACTTTGTGCACTAAATTGCTTCTAGATCTTAGATAATAGTTATATATCATGTAGAAGTATACTGGTATTAGTTCTTAAGACACTGACACAGCATTTGCTGAAATTGCAATAAACATGTTTAAAGGATGTGTACATTCTTGGTATAAGATGTATAGTGGATAGGCACAGTCTTACAAATGTTCCGTATTTTCTGTCTATTATTGTAGGAATAGATATATAATCACCATATAATTAAATTTATTTCAGATGAATGTTAAACATCGGGAATAACTTACTCTAAAAAGACCTATCATGCATAGTTCTTCTTTTGGTGGGTCAATTTGAAGACAAAATTTAAAGATATATCAGTATTTGAGGTTTGTTTTTTTTAAAGAAATAGTTCTTCCCTCTACCACTCCCCAGTGGGAACCATTATATTTATTGGTAAAGTGAGTGCCAGGGTTAAATTATTCTTATGTTGATAAATTCCCATGGATGGCCCTCCTAACCTGTGCCTCTGTTTGTTTTAGGAAATAATTGATGGCATATTCTAAAGTTCTCACTGGAAATGAAGTCCTGAAATATGTAAGTCAAATACGCCTGATCGAGTAGAAACCTGGTCCAAGTATGCATTGGATAGAATACCTGAACTCACACATCTGCCTTTGGTCAAAGCTGGTCTGATTCCAGCTTCAACAATACCCCGTTCTAATGGCAGGGCTGGGGTGCCTAGTTATTGACATAAGCTAAATAATCTAGACAGGTATTGAGAACTAGGGTACAGGGGGGAGCCAGTTCTGCAGTCAGGAGAACTCGGGGTCAGTTCCTGCAACTGATACATACTGGTTATGACCTTGGGCAAATTAGCTTCTCAGTGCTACAGACAACTGCAAATCTGTTACAGAGAGTCGAGGGATCTGCATTAGGGAGTTAGCCCACTGATGAAATCACAGGTCAAAACCCCTCTAAAACAAACAAAAATGAGCTCTTTCTCTAATCCCTAAATCCATCCATAGGATCTGAGAGCTGTCAGTGACCTTCAGAGTTCATGTAGCCCATCCCTATATCTTTAGAAGGGTTGAGTATCCAAATTTGTAGAGCTTCAGGGATGGAGATTAAATAGCTTTTCTTGATTACACATGAAATAACTCCACTTGTCAGGTTTTCATAGATATATACACATAGACATATACATATATATGCATATATATGACACACACCTTTTGCTTAAGTTAAAGATGACTTGCTTTTATTCTATTCTTTGTTGATGTGGGGCAATTATCCGTATCTCTGATGTGTTATTTTATAATTGTCTTTTAGTCCTAATTCTTTTCAGTGTCCTATTAGGTCTTATTTTTTCCATCATTTCAATTATTTTCATGGTTCTCTGAGTGCTAAGTTCTCAACATCCATTAAAAGTCATGATACCCCAAGTTAAATTTATGCCTCTGGCTGACAGATGCAATTTATTATATTTTCTAAGCTTAGAAGGGAAAGTACTTGTCATGATGGGGTCATTGGAAATTCGGCAGTACTATCCATGACGGAGAACCAGCTATGTGGCATTTCGTTATTTCCAACCATCGTTGGTATTTATTCAAGATAGGCACAATAGTGACAATATTCTAGTTCATGTTCTTAGGTTATTTACTCCTTAAATAATCTTTATCAAACACTGGGCATTTTGAGATAAACAAGATTTGGGAATGCCATGGGAATTTTGTAGTTCTAGATTTGTATTCTATTGGTTTTTAATACTATGCATGATATATAGTCATGATTTCGAATAAGCTTCCAAACGTTTAGCCCAAACTCAGAAACTCCTGGGAAGTGACTTTGTTTTGTTTGCTCTATCTTTTGTTCATTAAGGAAATAGATATTAATAGCTATAGGTAGCTGTAGTCTATCTCTATCAGTCCAATTGGCCATTCCATTGTATCTGAAGAATGTAAAATTACAGCTACAGTGTGTCAGTCTCCAAAGGATTCACATTGCTTTTTCAGGATTCGCATGGGACTGGAAACCAGTGTACCACAAATCTCTCTAAATAGTACTGAAAAATATAAAGAAGAAAAAAAGAAAACACCTGCCATCTGCTATTTTGCAACTTTGTTAATTAAGTTCAGAGTTTAAAAGTGAAGCTCTTCTACAAACTAAAATCAAACATGATTTCAATAGGCTGAAATCAATGAAATTAAATATACAGTTACAAAGCTACTTATACCTGCTGGGCACATAGAGAGACGATGTCTCAACATCCAGTGAAATCCTCACCAATTGGAACATTTGGTTTTTTTATGGTTTTTTGTGTTTTTTTGTGTTTTTTGTGTTTTGTTGGGTTTTTTTTTTTGGTTTTTTTTTTCTAGAAGCTTATAACATTTTTACACACACATTTTACTCATAAATTATTAATTTAAGTTACACATTATGGAGCCTATATCTAATTTTATCCACAAGAAAGTTATGCTTTTTTTGGTTTGTTTTTTTTCTTTTTTTTTCTTTTTTTTTTTTGTTTGTTTGGTTTGGTTTGTTTCTTTGCTTATTTCTTTGTTTCTTTGTTTCTTGTGTTTGGGGATGTTTTACTTCCCCCAAAACACAGATTGTCTCTTGGTATAATAACATTGAAACTAGACAAGTTACCCGGGTTTTGCTGTGAGAAATCAATGTGGGGTGGAGTTTCTGTGACTTGGTGAAATGTACACATAGAAGATAATGACTGGTTAAAAAGGGGGAAAAAAACCAAAACCAACAGACAACGGAAGGAAATAATTTCCTTAGGAACACAAGTGTATTCCTTTTTACCACAGAAGGATATCTTTTGATTCCTGTCTGGGATTTCTTGGTTTTCCTTTTATGGTGAAGCAAGTGTTTCTTATCCACCATAAGAAGCAGTCAGCAACTCCTAATCTCCTCCAGCACATCACTTAGAAGTTCTGTACAAGAATATATTTGATGTATATTTATAATTTACCTCGCCAATGTTTGCTTCCTGCTTTTGTCTGCATAATGTCTGTTATTTTCTTCAATAAGTTGAGCTAGAATGACAAAAATCCCTTAGTCTAATGGGCTTAGTGTGTGGTTATCTATAGTTATATTGAATCCTTTATGGAAAATCTTTCCATAAGTGCCTTTGGTGCTGTAAAATTAACATTTAAATCACCAGCATATTCTCTAGGCGACAGTAGTTTACAGCCACAGCCCTAAATTAGCCACCAAATCTCTTCGGCTTCCTTGTGTTTTAAGTCCTCTTACGTTCGGTTTCCAGGGACATTAGCTAACGTGAACTTGGGAAAGAAAAAACCTGATTAGTAATGGAAGAATGGCTAAACAATGACAGATGCAATGATTCTTGATATAGCTTACATTAAACTAGGAAGATAAATCTGAAAACAAAAAAGTCCCCTTGGAAATCCAGTAGCCTCTTTTGACACAGTGCAGTGCATTCTAACATTGAGTATCCACCAAGCAGGGGTACATTACCAGAGAATCTGTGGCATCGTTTATGTTGATTTTGAACAGCATGTGAATAAGTTGGTATAATTTACACACCAAGGCAGAAATTTGGATAAAATCTTCAGAAATGGCAAAAACCACGAAGCCCTCATCTGTCACAATAGCCCTTTTTCTACTATAAAATATTATTTCTTGATTTTTGCTTCTCCATATTTGATACAAACTTCGGTCAAACTTTTCTTAGGAGGAAACTCTAGTGATCTAGCTCTAGCTCTTGAAATTGAGTTCAGTTTTAGTTTCTATTTACATATATACATGTGGAGCAGTTTTTAATATGCATGTAGTTCAGTTGCTTTGATTATATACACATTCTCCTGAAGTCTGGAACAGTTGGCTTGGCTAACGGGCCTTATATGGGATCCTCTTCGATATTGGGAGAGCCCTGTGAAGATTGGCCAGGCGTGAAAGTCGTCATGGGAATAACTTTGATTGAGTCGTCATGTTCAGCTGTGCAAAACAAGGCTCTGGGACTGCATCTTCGAACCTGATTAGAATCGTCCTGAACAACAACCCTTCCTTGAGCAGCCCTAGCACCATGCCCCAGTTCTTCATTCAGGGACCGGGGGGGAGTGGTGCAAATAGCAGCAGGCTGGGGCTCAGGAGGATTGTGGCACATTGCTGTGGTCGTGATCAGATGTGGAGCAGGAGAACTGTGGCGGGTTACCACAGGCTCTGCAGGACGAGGTTGCCGATACTGGGGTACTGCAGCAGGCATCCAGCAGGAGTCAGAATGACCAAGGATAAGGCATTCTTGGGTACAGTTCTCAGAGGCTTCTTCAAGGGTTGGCTGGACAGTTATTTCTGCAGCTGGAAAAAAAAAAGCAGCACGTGTCATAATCTACACTTAGAAGAAGAAACTTTACTGAAGAGAATGTTGTTGATTTAAAAAAAAAAGATAGCTGTAGGCAAATATAACTAGTATAAAACCAAATCATTGATTCCTAACATTTTTGCAAATCAGATACCTCAATCTGACCCCCAAGAGTGTTCACTTTAAAAAATTAAAATGTGTTACAATTAAGGTTAAGAACGCTTTGCAAATTTTGCTTCACTACCTGAGATAACAGGATGAAATTTGGGAGCATTTTGGAAACCAGGGGCATTGACTGATATACGGAAATGCAAAGTGAGTCAAGGGAACAAGGAGGCAGTTACTTATATAATTCTAGTCCAAAGAAAATTTCATCCAGATGACTGAAGAGAGAGTAGTTTCCTTTCACTTGAATTATCTAGATAACTGATAATACTATATGCCATTAGACTGTAAAATCCATTAGATTATATAATAATGTAATATATAACATATATATCATATGATTATATATGTCATTAGATTATAAACTCCTTGAGGACAGGGACTATCTTTTGCCTCCTTTTTATATCCCTAGCACTTAGCAAAGTGCCTGGCACACAGTAGGAGCATAATAAATGTTTATTGATTGATATAAAAAGTGAAGCTGAAAGCTGAGGCTAATCATATCCAAACCATGTTTTCATTTTTTTTAAACATATCATTTTCACTTTCTCTACATTTAAGGGAAAATTTCATTTTTTTTTGTTGACACTTTTATTTTAAAAGTCTGCCAGTGGTACGTAATGCTAACAACTCATATAGTACCTTAAGTTTCCTAAAATTCTGTATAAATGCCTATTGTGAAGCATATGGCACTAGGAAGGCAGTGTGTGAAATTATAGAGGCAATAGAAAGCCTAGTTCCTGACCTTTAGGAGCTTAGAATTTAATAGGCAGAGAAGAGAAACAAATGAAAAGATATGAGAGAATATCTGAGGCAGTTGGGGTTAACCTGGGCATGCTTCATGGAGATGAAGCCTATTGGATTTTTCCCAGTGTGAAATGTTCTTTCATATGTTAAAGCATCTTATAAATATGCTTCTAAACAATGTACTAAATAACTATGCCCCCATTCTCATGAGTGTTTGTGCTGAAATCACATGGTAGAGGATAAAACAAACCTTAGGGAATGTTTTAGGAATTTTAAAAAATCAAATGGGCATTTAAATTAATTTGAAAAAATAGTCTGTTAGATTCTAAGATTTGCCTCAAAGTTTCAAGAATGAACTATAGCTGTGGTTAACTTTAAAAACAATCAATTTCTTGAAACCATAACAAAACAGAGGTTAGTAACATAATGAATGATAGACCTAAGGTACTCAACCTTGAACTGTGATATACTCCATAAGCATATGAATTTTTGAATACTAAGGAGTAAAACAGTTTATATATCCTTTGTGCTGAAACTTAGATTGTATTATTCCACAACTGAATGCAATGATCAGAACACAATGATGCTACCCCTTTCCCTTGCAAGGATCCACTCACTATGTGATATGCCTGGCTAATAGAGAGTGAACAACTTTGGAACACTAGTTACAAGATTAACATTCAAAGAAGTGAATAATAAAATGTTCGAAAACACTGAACAAATGAGTAAAGGATCAGAAGCACATTTTGATTTCACTGATCCAAGGGAATGAGAAAATGATCATTTAGAAAAGCCAAAAGCAATCCAACTTGAACCACAGAAACAAAGGGGTCATTTCAAGCATCCTGTTCTCTGACTTAATAAACTATATCTTTATAGAGACTGAGATATTTACATATTTCCAAACTAGATATAACCTATAACCACACTGATGGACTGGCTCCTGTTTTGGCTCAAAATAACATACAATGACAGAAAAGAAAAACATCAGGTGTCTTTTCAAAAAATCTTAAGCATTTTTATAAATATATATATATATATATATGTACACACACATATATATCTATGTATATATAACATGTGCATGCAAATGCAAAGTCAAATGGTGAAAGAATGTCACTGAGTGGTACATGATTTCAGGAGCTGATACACTTAGAACAATTACAAATATACCAGCAATTAACAATCTGAGGGTATGAAAAGCTATTTTCTAAGTAAATCAAACTTGGGGTTAGAAGGCATGTTTTCTAGAGAGGTGGTAGTATAGTAAATATAGTGCAGGAAGTAGAGTGAAGAAGAGCTCTGTGGGTATTCTCTCCCCTGACATTAACTAGCTGTGTGGGCATAGGCAACTCATTTAACCTTTCTTAGCCTCAGTTTCCTGATTTGTAAAATGGGTGTGATGATAATACTTATAGCACTTATAGAATTGTGAGGCTCAGATAAGATAATGTATGTAAATTGCGATACAGACATCAAAGTGCTATGTATAAATGTTAGTTGTTGCTGTCATCGTATACTCTGCTCTGACATTTATTAGAGAAGCTACGTTAGAAATCTAAATCATTTACTCGATCTAGTGTGGAGGCAGGTTAAAATAGATTCATTTGTAGATCTGAAGAGGCTATTTCTTTTGGGTAAGAACTGATTCTGAGGTGGTGTGGCAGAGTAGAATAGACACTGGACCTGGAGAGGGGAAAATCTGGTTTTGAATTCTACTTTAAACACTAGCAGGTCCCTTACTCTCTCTGGGCCTCAGTTTCCCCACCTGTTAAATGTGAGGCTTGGGGTCTGAATCTGTCATTTAAGGTGATAAGAAATGTGAGTATATTTCTAAAACACACCTAAATTGCTGGTTGTATGTGGCCTTAGAGAGGCAAAGTGGTGAACTAGCTGGAGTGCTGGGCTTGGAGTTAAGAAGGCTTATTTCAAACCCAGCCTCTTATGCTTACTCTGTGATCTTGGGCAAGCTGCTTAACTTTTCTCAAGCGCAGTTTCCTTATCTGTAAAATGGGAATATTAATAGCATTTATCTCACAGTATTGTTATGGGGATCAAGTTAGATAATGTACACAAAGCTCTTTGCAAATCTTATAACATCATGTGGCTAGTTGTTAAGACAATTTTTCTGAAACAGATTTCAGAAGAATTGAATGTCCTTCCTGTTCCTCATATCCAGTAATTCATATTTACTTGATAGTTACTTTTTGCCAGTAACACTCAACAATACTTATAGCAGTATGATTTTTATGGCTAAATTTAGATTAATCATCAGTTTACATGCATTCTTTATATTTTCCAGAAAGAACTCCATATTTATTTCTTTTTACTGAAAGTTCTTAACAATTTGTGTCAATGTTGCTATTAAAAAAAAAAACAACACAAATTGAGCAGGGTGGGGGGAGGGAGAGAGTTTAAGAAGTTAGAGTAAGTCCAGATGTTTCTTGCATTTCCTGAATTCTGAGGATTTTTAAAAATCGATTTGTTTTTAAAACAAAATTGTACTCCAAAAAACCCGATTCTAATGCCTGATCATGGCGGAAACATAATCCTGTCTTCTTGAAAGGTATGGCGGTGCTGAGTCTTGAAGTATCTCCAGATGTCAAGGACAACTAGTACAGAAGGCACAACAGCAAGCCAAGGAGACCAGTGTCACTGGGCTGTGGATTCTATAGAAAAGTAGGAGGGAGACAGGTTGTGAAGGGCTTCAAATGACAAATGGAACATTTTACATTTGGGCTCGGAATAGGGAGCAAGTAGATTTTGAGTAGGGGAAGTAACATGGTCCAACCTGAGCTTTAGAAAAATCAGTGTGGAAACCAAATGGAGGATTGACTGGAGCAGCGGAGAGACCCACTAGAGGGCTACTGCAGTAGTCCAGCATGGGGTCATGAAGAGTCAGACGTGACAGAAAATGGCCAAACAACAACCAACTCTATCCACTATGGGCGTGTGTGTGTGTGTGTGTATTTAAATTAAGAATCTGTTATTAACATGTGACCAGATGTACAGTCAGTTAAGTTCAATTACTTGTTTAACCAAATGGAGGATTGACTGAACCAGGGAGAAAGTTGAGGTGGAGAGACCAATTAGAGGGTTACTGCAAACAGTCTCAACCAGGGGGATGACTTTGTGAGTAGAGAGAAAGGGATGTATATGACAGATGTTGTGAAGACGGAAAAGACAAGACTTGGCAACAGATTGGATTCGTGGAGTGAGGGAGAGGTTCAGGGATGACCTTGAGGTTGCCAGACTTGGGAACTGGGAAGATGGTGGTACCCTTGACATAAATATGGAAATTTGAAAAAGGCAAGAGTTTTAAGGGGGAAATTATGGGTTCTTTTTTGAACTTGCTGAGTTTGATATTCTTACAGGATATCCAGGATGAGATGACAATATAGAGGGAGAACAGGACCCAGATCAGAGCCTTGGGGGGGACACCTGTTGTTTGTGGGTGTGACCTGGAGGAAGAACCAGCAAAGAAGACTGAGAAGCAGTGGTCAGACAGGTAGAAGGAGACTCAGGAGAGAAAAGTGTCATGAAAACCTAGAGAGGAGAGTGTTGAAAAGAAGAGGGTGATCAACAGTTTCAGAGTTCTGCGAAGAGGTCAAGAAGGTGAGGATAGAGGAAAAGTCATTAGATTTGGCATTTAAGAAACGATTTATGGGTTTGAGGTGAACAATTTCAGTTAAATATTGAGGTCAGAAGGCAGATTTCAGAGAGTTTGGATTTGAGTGAAAAGAGAGAAGTGAAGGCAGTGCTTCTAGATGGTTTTTGCAAGGAGTTTAGTCCAAAAATGGCAGTTAGATAGAGGATGATTGCTAGAAGAGATGGTAGGATCATGCGGCTGCTTTTAATTTGAAGAAGGAACAAAAAAGAGAAAAAATGGCCTTCCATTTCAACAGCTCCAGCCTGACCCATTTAAACACTTAGTTGACACTCAAAAATGGAAAATGTATTAAGGATATCCTTAGAGAGATATACAACTAGAAAAGAAATTGAGCTAGTCTTATAGTAAGAGCAATGAATGAGCTCTTTATAATATTAGAATTCATAAAAAATGTTATATATAGATATATATGTC